TCCCGATAGTTTCGCAACGCGAAGGAGGCGAAGGAATAATAACGTTAAGGTCGCAACGATGACAATAACGATTGGCTGATCCCGAACAGGGTGCACCTCGAATTACAGAGCGCGGTTTCCGATGGTTGTTTCTTCCCGGCAGTTATCGTTCGATCCAACAGTCTTTTATTCCCGTGACGTAGAAATCGTTCCGTGCACACTGGCCGGGTACAAATGTACAAATGTAGGTTGAGGGGAAAAAGATGACCCGCGTGTTCTATCGATTTCTTATTTTTACCTACGCGAAAGAGCTGATCCTGTAAATGGATCAAGCGCGAGGCGATACCTTCCCTCGATGGAACTTCGATACTGCACGGAAAGTTCCGGTTGCACTTTCTACGCTGTGCCCGAGGCTGGTCCCTTTGAGATTTGTTTCGTTTCCCGATTAGACGGCGAAAGGTTAAAGTAGCAGCCGCTTTAAACGAACGGAATCGAATCGTTTTTTCGAAAGGGAAACGTAAAAGATAACGAAGTTCCCGTATTTGATAAAAACACGAAAGCAACCGAAACTTTCCACGTCCCTGTGGGATCCTGCGTCTTTCTCTCGGGGACCTACTTAAATCCCGGTACGTTGAAAAGTCGCGAAATTAAGGTTTCAGGAATCGTACGGGGCTGAAGGAAATCTCAAGCTACTTGCCCGAGTTTCGCGATTTCGCTAAATTAACGCGAAAGAAAAGGTGTTAAAATATAGAAATCACAATTCTTGGGGGAAACTTTCTTCCCCCAAGGAAAAAAGACCTTGCGGCGAAAACCTCGTAAGATAAATATATTTAAATATAAAATATGTATGAATGTGAGGTGTGGATTGTGTGTGTGATCAGAATGATTACGATTTTACCACTCTCAGGGTCACGAATATGATCGCTTATTGATTAATGTATCGATACAAATATGACGGCAGCTATTATAAATTCTTGATGGATTTGGTTTTATTTATGATTGCTTTAAATTTTAAAACGATATGTCTGATCACGTACCCTTGATGTAGAAAAGAGCCAGATCCTCTTATATCACTATTAGAGAACTTGAAATAAATGCAAGAAAAAAAATATAGCTATGGTGCCAATGATGTTTTCTATAGAACTGTGCGAATGCATCTCGCACTGTCAGTCTAGTGCCCTCCTTTTCCCCTTCCCTCGTAACGTCGACAACGTATCACACAGGATGGAGCGTTAATTTTATCACGACGAATATCCGTTTTAAGAAATTCGCAAACGTCCAACCTAGCCGCGCGAGATTGAAATGCTTGGATTCGTTTCGATCCAACACGACGAAAATAAATACACTCGAGAGGGGGTGGAGTCGCGGAGTAAAGAGGAAACGTTGGAGAGAGAAAAAAAAGGAAACGGAAGAGCGCGGAAGGGAATACGGACGGGTGGGTTCCTAGCAATGGGCCTGGCAAAATTTGCCAAGCGCCCGAGCAAATTGCGATGATTATACGGCTCGTACGGCGGCCAAGCGAGAGAAAAAAAGAAGCTAAAGGAAGAAGGAAAAATGAAAGGAGGAGAAATAAAGGAAGAAGAAAAAAAAGAGACGAAATATTCCATAAAGCGTAATGGAGGGCTCGCAAATATTTATCTTTCGGTAGGTTGGGAGAAGCGCAAAGAGCCATGCGAAAACGTTCCCTCGCCGGATGGCCCTTGTCGCGGCACAGAAACGTGGAAAGTTCTCCTGACACGATTACGCCGCTCGGTGACCAGAAATAATTTCATTAGTCGCCCTGTAAACTCATCTAGCAGTTCGTAAAGAAAGCATACGCGTGGGAAATATGTACTTTTCGGTATATATACGTATAATTGTACCGCCTTAAGTTAGCCGGCCCTTGGGAACTCTAATCACGGTACTTAAATTCCTGTTGCATAGACGACTAACGTCAGCCTTGCGGATCGTTACACGTATATATACACACGTTGTAACCGCGTGTGTCGTCGGGGGGTGAATGGAATGATTCGCGCCACCGAACACGCTTGCTAATGAGCGAAACGACGGTTTACACGGCTCGACGAGACCCTCCTAAAGTTAATGGACGTGTATCGATGAGACCTCTAGACGGCGTCAAAGTCCTCTCTCTGATACTCGAACCGCAAGCTCAACTATGGATACGTTGCGACCGAAATTCGCTTGACGGTTCGAAAAGTTTCACAGACCCGGTATCTTGGCGAATCGATCTCCCTATCGGATCGTTGGTTAGACCGTTTACAAACGGATGGTAAAACGCAACACCGTCAAAGGTACGATCGCGGCGTTAATCCGCGGTGATCGGCTTACGGGAGTAGCAAGTAACCGAGTCGGCTGGAGGCAAGAAGAGGAACAAACGAAATTTCTGACAAGCAAACGTTGCGGTACGCGAGAAGTTAGCCGCGGATATCCGAAATTTCGGTCGCATAAGCGGCGTCCGAGTAAAAAGCTTTGGGCCCCCGCTGGGCCGAATCGTCTGGTAGAGAAAGAGAGGATTACAACAAGAGAGCCGCAAGTGGGTGGCGTACAATCGTAGAGAGGAAAGTGAGTACAAGAGGCAAAGACAGGGTGGACATCTGCGTAGGAAGAGGAGAGAATCAGGAGGTAGGAAACTGGGGAACAGGTAACGGATGGAAAAGAGAGGAGAGATCTAGCAAAACGTACACAGCTGAAGCTGACACATCCTCTGCCAGTCTACTGGCTTTTCTAGAAGCTAGAGAAGGACGAGCAAATCTAGACGCTTACTTAGTGACACGCGCAGCATTTTGCTGTCGGGCTAAACTTTCTCTCTTCGTCCCGAAAGCTTGTTCCCTTCGAGCGCTCTCTTTCCCCGCGTTAAGCCTCTATTTCTCTCTTACCACCATTCTCCACGGCATTGTATTAAACCGTGGCTCGTGTTGCGGCTTGACAAGGGTGGGGGCGGTTGGCACACGAGTTATCTTACCCTCGCCTTCCCACCCGCGCCGCGACACTACCCTCTAAGCCCCTTTCTCTGACCCGCCTCCCTTATTCCACCACCGGGATACCCGTTGGATTATTCACAGAGTAATTTAAACTACGGATGACAGATATTCCGAGTGTTCGCAGCCTGATCGATCGTTCGTGTCCAGCGAGAGGATTTCCTCTCTGTCCCGCTGTCATTTATCGTTCCACCGCCCCCGGATAAATTAATATCACCACTGTCGATAATATCGAGACTCTCCGCAACACACTTCGATACCGTTCGACTCTCCGTGTCTGACCTCTTCGAGAGAAAAAAAATATCGCATCGAGCGTTCACGGTATCGCGCGGAAAATATTCCGCTCGCCCGAAAGAAAAATAACGAGAAATAAAAGGAAGCCCGATTGGAAAAATGTTTCGCGCCCTCCACAGCCAACCTTACTCTTTATTAAACTCTGTCCCAGTGTCGGTTGCCGACCTGCTTCTCCTTTCTGACTTGTTCGTCGAGTTTCGAGACCATCTTCCCTCTCCATCAACCTACACCGACTACTTTCAACCCTTATCAGACGCATCTGATTCTGACACGCGATTCGAATTTTCCACCCCACCGAACCTCCTTCCATCGGTCTCAGTGAAGTGCTCTTTAAAATCGTAACGCGGCTTATTACGTCCCTGAAAACGTCTCATTCCCCTGCGACATCCAACATTTTCACGAAAATCTTGCTGTACTTTCGAAACGATTCAACCGCGACGGATATCAAAAATGCGCGTAATTATTTCTTGTTAACGGTGGAAGGGTGAATAGGCGGGGCGATTAAAGGGACAAGTTTTCACGTTTTTCTGCCAGAAGCCGCAAACGATGTACCTTTACCGTGCAACGACTCGCACAATATCTCGAATTAACGAGCCACTTCTCGTGTCTCGGTTATTATTACGGCTGCTAAGTAATGCGACGCGTTTAAAGCCGTACTTACGTCAGCCGTGTGAAAATCTTTTGTTTCCCTCCGCGAGCGTTTATCTCCGCTACCCGCAATCGCGCGATCTCGTTAGTTTTTTAATTAGCGATTACGCTGGACCAACGCTTTCTTCCGCGCCCTTTGTCTCCGGGTATTTTCGCGAAACACGGACGATCGAACGGGTTATTACCGAAGGATCGTAAGTACCCTAAAAATATCTGTTCCGTAATATGTTAGCCACTTTTTATCGCGTATTATATAAACTCCTCGAAAACTGCGGTAGCAGCTTTTTTCGTCTATTGTTATGGTCGAGTACAGTTCGCTACGTCCTCGAGGCAATTCAACGGGCCAAGAAACCATCTATGGAACTGAATTTGAAACTACATGCTTGGACTATGTATCGTCGAACGAAAATAGGTACATCAGTCGTTACATTGGCGATATAGTTGTAAAAAAAATTGGGGGCAAAATCGGTGAACGAGAAAAAGTGACATAGTTTCACGGGAACGGATGACATTTTTCTCGGCTGAAACTTTTCTTTAGAGACGGTGAACCGATTTTTCTTCGGTACCAGCGACCGCATCATTCCGTACGCTGAACCGAGCCGAGCTATTCTCCTCTCGACGCTCCGGCAGAAGCGTACATCGAAGCTAATGGCGCGACACTCGGTGATTCGTCTTCGCCCGACGCTTTTCCCTCTCTGACTTATTTTTTTCTTATCGTTGCCTCGCCGACCGGCTGGTAATTTAAATGTATAGGCAGCAGCCATTTGCGTTTAGAATGGAAGAAAGGAAATATTCGTCATACTTGGATAAAGATGATTTAGAAGTAAAATAAACCCAACATCCATCCACTAAATATAAAACCGTGACGATATCTAAGTATCTATATTTTATCACCCACGCGTTTGCATTCAAGGTTCAAAGATAATACAGTTAATTAATTTGCCTTCGTTTCACGTAACGTGTAGTCGACTTCCGAGCGCGCAGAGACGAACGCGTTTAAGAGATAAGGGAATAAACTGGATGAAATTCTTCTCGGTCCCTGAATGAAGCCTTTATGTATCGCAGGATGTATAAAAATATCTGTCGCTGGTCGGACGAGGCTTTGCATTATTTGTCCGGCGAGGCGGTGCGAGAAATACGCGACCGATGTACGATCGGTTCATTTATTTATCGCGGTCCGAAGGAAACTGATCGTGAAACATGTTGTGAATGTTTCACGCGGCTCGTTCTTTACCCTCGCTTCGTTCTTATCCACTTCGAAATTCTTACTAAAGGGCGCGTAACACCGGGAAACCTCGATTCTCGTTTAAAAAATTGAAACACCATTTCTCGTGCCACTCGAACACTGCGGTCTGTCTTACACCGAGATACGACGGTTTCGCGACAACATGCAATTCGTTACGTTATTCACGTTCGTACTTTTACTACTCCGTCAATTCTCAACCACCGTTGGATTCAACATTCTTGGAATTTGTCCTAGCACCAGTTACAGCCACCAACAACCTTTTCAAGCATTGATGAAAGCTTTGGCGGCTCGTGGACACAATGTCACCGTCGTATCGACCATTCCCTCAAAGGCAAGTGGGTTTATTGTACCTTCCTCTCTTTAATTTCCTCTACTCGCGCACCCTTCTTCAATTTATTTCTATAGGGTTATCCAAATTGAGTGTCGTATCTTCAAATTGAAATAAAACGCAAAGTCTATTTTATTTGCGAGCTTGATAGGTTTGACCAAAGAACGAATAATTTTTCACGAGGAGGAGACACCAATTGCCACCAAAATTGGGTGATTAGATTTTTTTATGGGGTTTATGGAAAGCGACACCAATAATCGTCGCTATTGATAAAATTGAATTCCACTTGTGTGAAAATATAATAGAAAATTGGGTGAAACGCATCAGGTTTGTTAAAAAACCAAGGAGGATTAAATAATATTGTCTTTGATAATTAATGTCATACAGTAGACTTTGTGTTAAAATAAAGAAACCATAAAAAAATCGCATACTCCTCGTTTTATTTCAATTTGAAGATGCGACACTCAATTTGGATAATCCTATATTTACTCGATCCCTAAGAGCATTATAGCGTTTTCTTTTCATTTTCCCTGAAAGAATGCTAAGAAACGTTATCGAGTCGCAAACAGTCGGAGTATAACAATTTCTACGGGATACAATTGCGTTCGAAGTTCCGTCATTTGTCAGCGTTGAGAAAGTTTATGAAAAAAAGGCGTGAAAACGTTTCTAACGAGGTTAAAACGACGCTTTAATAATTCAATAACACGGTGAACCGTAAAGAAAAGTTCGAAAGATATTTCAGATAGGTGTTTGACTCTGTTCCACCCCGGACCTCGTACACCTTCTTCCCACGTTCTTCGCTTGCAGTTCATTTTCGCCTCTCTTCTTTTTTTTCCCTTCTTTTCTCCCTGATCCATTTCGTCTCCCTCTCTACGTTACCCCTCGCTCTAAAACTCCGGTCGAAAGTTACGCAAACTTCGTTCCGCGTCAATTTACCCCTTACCAACGTTTCTTCTTGTTAAACGCGCGGCCCGCTCGTGACCCGATGCTCGCGATCTTTTTCTTGCCCTAGGAAAATCAAGGAATTCGGTTGCACGTGTAAATCGTGGGCAAACAAAGGGAATCAAACTGCTCTCGACGGGAATCGCGGCGAAGGAGTTGAAAATTCGTGTCAGACAGAAATTTCACCGATGCGAATGTAATCTTTTCAGAAGCCGATCAAGAACTACGAGGACGTCGATTTGTCGTTCACTTATCGAAGAAAAGATTGCACCGGTTTAAGGTAAGTGTTTCGACACTTTCCCCTATTTTTCAACGGAAATGAATTAAAAGGATCGATCGTTCGCAGGCACATGGGAGCGTTCAGCCTTCTGCGGAAGAATATGCGTGAGGCGAACGATTTATGCGAGGAGCAACTGTTCAGCGCGCCCATCGCCCATCTAATATCGTAATACGAAATATTCATTTTCTTTATGAACGCGTGTTACCGTGAAACAACGAACGAAAGAAAGAAAAGTTCATTTCGTAAGCTCGTTCGAGGTATAATGGCCGAGGAAAAGTACGGTAGCGCAATTTTCAGTCGGGAGTTGAAAAGAAATTGCCGACATCGTCGCGTTTGCTTTGCCCCTCGTAGTCGCGAACAAAAGAAAAACAACGGGGCCAGCTAAGAAATTACTGTAATTCCATCGAGTTACAGCTTCATCCGTGAAACTAATCTCGATCCTTGCACGATATTCTTTTTACAGTAGCAACAAAACCTTCGACGCCGTGATTATCGAACAATTATGGTACCAGTGTTATTACGCTCTGGTGAACCATTATAATTCCCCGGTTCTCATCGGATTTTTGAGCGTCGGCAACCTGCCCTACGTTATGGATTCTGTTGGTAAGTTTCTAAAACGCGATTCCAAAAGGTAGTCGTTGACAGAACTATAAACCAGTACAAATTGACGTGCTAGGAACTAGTTTAAACTTTGATCCTACGATTTTCTTCCAAGAAAACATTCCCGTTTTCCTTCGCCCGGTAATTGACTTGAATCGTTGGTAAAGTGAAAAATGGAAGGAAGAAGGGGTTAATAGCTAACGTGTGATTCTCAGGAAACCCGGACGATCCATTCTTGAATCCCGACATGGCCTACCCTTTCACCAATAAAATGTCTCTTAATGAACGTATCTGGAACACCGTATACACAACGTGGACCAGGATATACTACAAGTACTGGCATTTACCGAGAGCCCAGAAGATTGTTAACAAGTGGAGCACCGATATCTCGATCGAGGATATCGATAGGAACTTTAGTCTGGTGATATTGGGAAACAATCACGTATTCGGGTATCCGAAACCGCTGCTGCCAAATGTGATCGAGGTTCACAGCCTCCAGATCACGGAGAAGAGCGAATCGTTGCCCAAGGTAACCGATTTCGACTGCTAAACTTTGCCATTAACGCGCTGAAATCGCTGAATTTTACCGCAGCCTGGTAAACTCGTCTACGTGTTCCCGCTCGAACGTTCGTAATTTCCGAGGACAGAGGAGCCGAACTCGATTCGAAATAATCCGCGGTCCCTATTCGTCGAGGTGATTTCTATCGATTCGTTCAACGGCATCGAGGAAAAGTAAATTCGGTGAAAAAAAAATTACAATTATTCCTAGAGGAGCGGGTCGCGTTATTTCGCATAGTTTTATCCGTGCAAGGGGTGAAACTGGTATACAGCGGGCAGAGGAAATGATTTCTCCGGGGGAAAATACGTAGCTGGTAACCGGGGGTACAAGGGGAAAAGTTTACCTACGGCTCGGCATTGCGACACGAAAGTAAAGGAAAGGCCATTGCTATTTACCGCCGCTCGTTCTACCTTTTATCCCCCGCCCGGGCTGTGGAAAAATATTTTTCCAGAGTATTTCCACCTTCGAAACTCGTTCCCCTGACTAGGAAGAAATCCAAGACCCCCGGGTTGCCTTTCTCCCTACCAATTCTTTTCGTTCTTCTAAACTATCGTCGCGTCTCATCAACGAACTCCACGAAAATTAACCCAAACTACCGCTTTTTTTCCCTCGCGCGACAAGACACGTGTCACGCGGAATTAACGGGGGTGTAAATTCGAACTAAACGAGTTGCGCGACCCACTGTAATTAATATAACAATACACCTTCCGTATTCCACGTGAGGCGAGTATGTCATCGTTTCGACGCTACCTTACATTATTTCACCCTGTTTTCAACCTTGTTAACCATTCGATAAATATTATAGGAAGAGAAAAACTCTAATATTTCGTGACGGATAAATTAACATTAAGAGAATCGCAAAATTAGAAGGGTAATTAAGAAGATCCATTAAAAAGTTTCACCTTTCCTCGCAGGATATTCAAGAATTCCTGGACAACGCGGTACACGGGGCGATTTATTTCTCTCTAGGCTCGAATCTGCAAACTCATCAGTTGCCCGCCGGTCCTTTGACCGCATTGTACAACGCGCTTGGTTCGCTGAAGCAAAGAGTTCTATGGAAACACGCCGGGGACATGGCCATTCATCCAGGCAACATCAAATTTGTGAAATGGGTGCCCCAGCAAGCGGTTCTCGGTAAGGTTAACCCCCCCCTGTCCGCAGATCCTCTGTCTCCATCCTGTCCCTCGCGATTCCTTTGAACGCTCGAATTGACCGCTTCGGGATATTCATTTTATGGCTAAGCTTCTGAACAACGTCCACCTACCGGAATCATTATCCGAATGGCAATGCCTGGAGCCCGTTAACGTGGCGGAAACAGAGAAGGATGCTAACGCGAAGATGGACGTTAAATTACACTATCGATCGAAAGTTACAGACTATCCGATTCCTTGTTGCATTGTGCTTCGTTTAACCAATTTAATTCTATATTTCTTGCGTTCCCGTACAACGCACTCTTTGATGGTTTAAATTTAACCCAGAGATAAAAGCTGACCGAATCGAAAGGTTTCCAAGAAACGATCCTCTTATTTTTTCCCCTAATTTCTTCTTACATAATCGTCGTACCGTAAATACGTGTCTGTTCGTTAATTATCGCGTTTCTGTTTGATTTACATACACAACTCGCGGAAACTTCGCGCGACGAGGACGCGACGGTCTGGTCTGTTCGTTAAACAGGATTCAAACGGCAACTCGAGGATGCACGGATACTTAACGAAGTTGTCGCCGACTTTGCCTGGTCCTTTCATTTACAAGGGACCTTCATTTTCTCCGTCCGCGGAATGCTCTGTAACGACCTCGTCCACGCTCGTTTTTAAACGATCGCGCGCTAAGTACGACACGTGAAGCATAATCACGACTGCATAGTTAAGTATACTTTGGGCTGCATTCCAGAATTTCTAAACGAGCTATTGATCGAAACAATGGAAGATGCGGGGAAACGCGTGATTAAAATGTTTCGAGTCCAAATTTTTAATCGGATAATTAATATTTTCATACCGTAGATTTCTTTCGCTACAGAAAAAAGGCTTCATTCCTTTTCCTCTACAACGATAAAGCTTTTTAGCCAGTGCTTAGCGATGGGATCCGGGATAAAACAGTCTGAATAACTTATAACCCTTTAGCTATTGAAGGTTCCAAAGCGAAACTTGAATTACAGCAAGAGAAAAATGCGAAACTAAAAAGCTCTGCCTAGATTATGATTATCAAAATTAATTAATTCGCTTATAATACGCGATAAGAAAATTTCTTGCCCGCTTATAGAAGCTAATAAGCAATGAAAATGTTAAGAAGTTTAAAGTGGAGAAGTTCTGAATAACTTAATGGTCGGAGCAGTCGCTCGACAATTGGAGGATCGGAATATTTTTCTTTACGAAACGATTTCTCGTTACGACGATTGAATGGCATGTTTTTTTTCCCCCCCGGATCTAAACGATTCGCAACGAAACAAAAAGATAACTGCTGCCAGCGCGTCGAAATTCACGTGGGAAATTCTGACAAACAAGTCGGTGTACAAACTTTCGTACACATTGATAGACAGACTGTTCGTCCGTTTCTGGAATGGTGGGAAACAGGGAACGTAACTGGAGGGCGCGATGCAAATAATGAGAATTTCAATTCAATTGGCTGTAACGATTTACGTAATTTTACGGAATTCAACCCCTCGGATTTCCACGAAACTTTCCTGCTCAACGTTTCACCCTCGCGATCGTTGACAACGTTTAACGTTCATTTGACGTTATCGCAGTCGGCGATAATGAACCCCTTCAGTTTGCCGTAACAAACGAGAGAATAATTGGAAATCTTTATCTTTCGAGTACGTCGTTGCAAGTTTCTCTACTCTTTGCGCTCTTGTGCAACTTTTTAAAGACTGTAACGCGGAAAGACGGATAAGAGACGGTAGCTTTATTTTTATATCGATCCACGATACTAAAGTTACTTTTATATGCAGCGCATCCGAAAGTGATGACCTACGTGATGCAAGGTGGATTGCAGTCGTTGCAAGAGGCGGTGCACTATTCTGTTCCGGTAGTCGCCATTCCCTTTTTCGGGGATCAACTTTTCAACGCGCGTAAAATCCTCGACGCCGGTATCGGACTTACATTGAACATCGATACCGTCACCGAGGAATCCATCGTCCGTACTCTCACCGACATTATAGAAAATAAAACGTGAGTAAATCGTACCGAAACTTTAGCAAACTCCCGGATTTCGTTCTTTCAATGACCCTTACCCCGAGTGAAATTCAACGGAAACATTGATTTACAAGTTTTGAGAGATTCTTAACAATTTTAGGTATCATAATAATATGAAGATCATGTCGGAGATCGTAAAAGACGAAATGGTGAAACCCATGGACCGTGCAGTTTGGAATATAGAACACGTTATTAAATTTTCGAAATGGAAGCATTTACGTTATCACGGTCACGATATTTCGTTGATCGATTATTATGGAACATTCGTAGTGATTGTTCTACCGTTAATTATATTATTATCTTGTGCATACTTATTGCTGAGTAACTTAAAAACTAATGTTTCAAACATTTATATGCTAGGTCGAGTTATACTATTTGGGAAAGAAAAAGCTGAATAGAGATTTATTTTGCATTGATTTTCTTAAAATTGATTGTATGATCAAGTATATACAAGTGTCTTTTGACTTGATTAGTTTAAATTGAAAAGAGAAACTGTAATATTCATGTAAGGTAATGCAATTGTTGAATAAATATTATAACTATCAAACGGTAAGTTAAAATTTTCTAAAAATAACATTATTCGATAAGTATGTGTACTCAGTTATCGACACAAGAGAATCTAGGAGTTTTCAATATCGACATTTGCAACTTTTAATCGTTAAATTGTAACAAAAATTGTTAAAAAAGTACTTATATGCTGTACGATTATTCAGCTATTTTATTTACCTATAGTATTAAATATTAAAATATACTGTATACCATTTGAAAAACTTTGCGAAAATATGTTTAAAAATTTACATTTATCATAGATATATCAAATTTATTCAAATATTTGACTCACCAACTCGTGTGGATTTACTGCGTCATTGTATATGAAAATGTCTCGAAGAGGCAAAGATTCACAAGTAAACTTCGGTCGACCGTACCCACTCATTTCATTCAAAAACTTGTAACAAAAAACAAAAATTGAACGATTAGATATGACAATTCATGTCCCATGCACACCTCTAGACACTAATTCCAGCAAAACATAATGATATATTTACATATTCGACATAATTTGTGTAATAGAATTCGACGAGACGCTTCACCCATGAGTCTGTCACCAGGCACAATCGAAACGCACTTATAATATCGAAATAAAGCTATTTACAACGAAACTTTCACTTCTTTACCCGAAATCGATCACTAACCTTTCAAATCAGTACATTTAAGGACACGAAGCACCATGTTTTTAATGTAAAAATAGCAAAAAGTTACGAGAGTAATGAACCGTACTGTAGCGGGGAAGAGAACGCGGTGGAAACTGGCGGTAATGGCGTCGGTAGTCAAATAAGCAACTATTTATAAAATTCTTTTTCGAAAAACATTGATACTATTAGATTGTATTCATATTATTAGACATGATTAAATCAGTATTTATTTATGCACTAGATTAATTGATTAACAAATGCCACAAAAAAAAAATGAGTTTTTATTAAACTCTCATTTGACTAGCGTAGTACATTCCAGTGTAAAAGATGAATCTATTTGAAAAAGCAGTGACTACTAATATAAAAAGACTATTGGAAAACTTTGTGAAAATATGTTTAAAAATTTACATTTAACATAAATATATCAAGTTTATTCAAATATGTCACTCACCAACTCGTGTGGATTTACTGCGTCGTTGTATATGAAAATGGCGCGAAGAGGCAAAGATTCACAAGTAAACTTCGGTCGACCGTACCCACTCATTTCACTCAAAAACTTGTAACAAAAAACAAAAGTTGAACGATTAGATATGACAATTCATGTCCCATGTATACCTCTGAACACTGATTCAAGCAAAACGTAATGATATATTTACCTATTCGACGTAATTTGTGTAATAGAATTCGATGAGACGCTTCACCCATGAGTCTGTCACAAGGCACAATCGAAACGCACTTATAATACCGAAATAAAGCTATCTACAACGAAACTTTCACTTGTTTACCCGAAATCAATCACTAACCTTTCAGATCAGTGCATTTAATGACACGAAGCACCATGTTTTTAATGTAAAAATAGCAAAAAGTTACGAGAGTAATGAACCGTACTGTAGCGGTGAAGGGAACGCGGTGGAAAGTGGCGGTTATGACGTCGCTAGTCAAATAAGCATCTATTTATAAAATTCTTTTTCGAAAAACATTGATACTATTAGATTGTATTCATATTATAAGTCATAATTAAATCAGTGTTTATTTATGCAATAGATTAATTGATTAACAAATGCCACAATAAAAAAATGTGTTACTATTAAACTCTCATTTGGCTAGCGTGTACATTCCAGCGCGAAAGATGAATCTATTTGAAATAAATCTATTCTTGGGGTCCCTAACACCCCAAGATGATATATTGGAGTGCGTCACTTGCGCTTCGGGGTCCCTGACACCCCGGAAGCCATATTGCCGGTATGAAAAGAGTGTCACCCGTGGTTCGGGGTCCTTAACACTCCAATATGATTTCATTTCATTTCATTTCAGGTTTCCCCATTTAGGGGTGATGTACTCTAAGGACTTTACATCGGTCCCTTTTTGCCCACCGAAAATCATCAGCCACACGCGTCATTTTTCAAATCTCTTGTCATTCTCACCGTACGTTACTTCACACATTCGCCGTACTTTTTCTTCTGTTTCTTATCCTTACTTTTACATCATACTACCTCGCACCCCCTTTTAGTCGCCTCTTACGACAGGCAGGGGATACCGTGGCTGTATTCTAATTCCCCCGAGCCACAGGGGGCCAAAATGATTTGTCGGTGCGCAGAAAGAGTCGCCGGGGTCCATGACACCCCAATATGTATCAGGTCGTATGCAGAGAGAGTCGCCGGGGTCCCTAATACCCCAATATGATATCAGGATGATATGTAGAGAGAGTCCCGTCACAAAGGGGTCCCTGATACCACACGATGATGTTAAGATTTTTAGATTGTACTCGTTAAATACTTCAACAAAATAAAAAAGAAGACAATAATTTTTGGGCCCCCGAAGTAAAGTTCAACCTATCCTTCTTTATGGGCTATGACCCACGCTCCCTAATTATTTATTATCCTACTCCTCTATATGGACCAAGGCCTCCCTTGGCAGATATTTATTTCTTGATTCTTTCTATGAGCCTGACTGAATCTGACTGAATCATAATGACTGATGAACAATTACGTGAGTAAACGTTTGAATACTATAAACACTAATTTGTTGTTAAAATGTTAATTTCAGTTATGTTTTTTAGCCCAAGAGGTAACTAAACATAGTTTCCGACAGAAAGTATGGGACTATTTAATGAAGAATGATTTAGTAAACTTTCCTCTTGTTGTATATGACCGGATACCAAATTTCAAAGGTGCTGCTGAGGCAGCATTACGTACAGCAGAATTGGAAGAGTTTAAAAAGGCCAAAGTTATAAAGATAAATCCAGACAAACCACAAGAACCTATTAGATTCATAGCGTTAGAAGCTAACAAAGAAATATTGGTGCCAATTCCTAGATTAAGATCTGGGCTGTTTCTTCATATTACACCAGTTGCTGGAGCTACAAAACATGAACTAAGAAATCTATCCAAAATTCATGGTTTATTGGAAGCTGGTAAACCACTTGGTGTAGACTCCAAAATACATGTATGCACTACTTTCAACTTTCCTCCTTATTTGTCTGTAATTTTCTAGATTCAGACATTACTATTATTTCATTTCAGGTAGATTTAGTGATACTAGGATCTGTATGTGTTAGCCATGATGGATACAGACTAGGCAAAGGTAAAGGTTTTGCTGATTTGGAATATGCCATAATGACAAGAATGGGTGCAATTACACAAGATACTATAGTTATTACAGCAGTGCATGATTGCCAAGTATTTGATAGGCTGCCACCTGAATTATTTAAAGAATATGATGTACCTGTTGATATCATTGTTACACCTACTCAGACAATAGTAGTAAATCCAAGATTGAAAAAACCTAACGGCATTATATGGTCTATGCTTAGCGAGAGAAGGGTGAAATCCATGCAGGTGTTGCAGCAACTTAAAGAGATGGATGAGAAGTATGCACTAGAATACTCACAGTTGATACTCTATGATTACACATGAATGTGTATTGGATTATTTACTTTTTTTAGAGATGGCAAAATAGTAACTTTGAAGGAGGAGGACTCTGATACGGAAACACAAAAACCGTACCGAAATCGGTCGAATCCTTTAAGGAATAATAAACGTTTCAAACCAAGGAAAAATGTCCCTGGTGTTAATGATTTCAATGAAGAAGGAGAGAAACAATGTACAATAAAAGGACGTTCTCCTAAAAAACGTACGCTTGGTAATATCAAATCAGGAACCGACAATAATTTAGTCGCTAATGAAGTTGAAGTACGTCTATTAAAATGACCCAAATACGACTTGAATGAACCATACTTAATTATATGTATTACTATTTCGTAATGTTTTAGGAAAAAGTCGAGAACAATGATAGAAATACTCAGCGTCGAAAAAATTTGAGACTGAGATCTAAATCGCAGGTTGCGTTTTCTCTAAAGTTATCGAATATTTCATCTAGCGCGAGGATACGTGATTTGAAAAATGCTCTGTTAGAGCGTGGCGTTAAACCAAATGAAATAACCTGGCTAGGCTATCGCGGAATTTGTTATCTTCATTTTAACAAGCTCAGAGAGAAGAACAGTTTGCCAGAACAACCGATACAGGTCGATTCGATAATGACAAATTTGCAACAGTTGTGTATTGGCGAGCCTACCGGCAAAGAGGACGATTTCATAATCGTAGAACCTGCTAAACCGATATCCAGGATAGAAGTCACGGATGTGTCTTCGGTTTAAAAAGTATTTAAACTTTTCTTTTATAGTACAATTTGTGTGATTATTCTTATGGAGATAGCTGGGTTCCATAACATAATGATTACTTCCTAGTTTTCAAACTTATACAAGTAATCTACGATGTATCCACCTTAAGTGCAAAATAATCTCATAATTTATAACAACGTACTATATTTCTACAGTTGAAATACTCTTCGGTAAGAATTGCATGCGCGTTAGAATCAGTCGATCGATAAGCTATAGTTTTTAATAATTCAGATACGTCTACTGTGATCACGTAACAAATATTTAACGATAAAAGAAATTAATTTAAATAACTCTTGCCAAAATATAAAAAGTAATATGTAAAATGTATATGTATATAACATTCGATGATATTTATCTAACATTGCAGACTGATAATAGTATAGTCAACCCTTAAGTAATATTCGAAGCGAGTGAAAGTAAAATAGCATCTTCTATTTGCATATTGGATATTCTATTTTTCTGAGAGAATATTTTCACAGAGATTAGATAGAAATAATGTATAACTTTTGTGTCGCTGTACCTTATAGTCATTTGTTGAATCTGAGATTAGATAATTCGTGTGTTACTTTAATAATAGCAATATTTTGTGATATGAACATAGTGAACCAGTCTTAAAAAACAAAGATATTTAATGTTGATAATTTTATTATTACCGCAAGGTAGGAGAAAAAATTAATTTTCTTTTTGTATCATTATTTTACCCTTATAGTTTTAAAAATCCGCTGGTCGAATTATTTTCTGTACTTGATGTAAGGAAATAAATTATTTAACTTTTTTAACAATAACAAGATGGTGTATTTTCTTTATGTTATCCACTGTTATTGTTTAGTTTCTTCAAATGGAACAAAATGAATTGAAACCTGAAAGTTATTTCCGTAGAAAAATGATGTTTTAATAACTAATGAGATTTCTCAATGAACATTCAGGATTTTGTTTTTGCTACCAGCATTAAAATGAAAATTGAAACTATTCTTACGGAGCAACGAAGGAATTTATATTCTTAGAATCATTAAATGTTTACGGATATAAGGGTTGCTTAACGAGATGCACTGGAATAATTATAATTGCATCGTTCATTATTATTATGAACGCTCCAAAAAGATCTTGAAAAGTCTTAATATTATTTTTATTCAGGAATGGAAAATTTATCTAATACTTTGACGATGAATATGGGTCGTTTCACCCTCTGTTGCCTTTCGCGAAACGGCGCCAGTATTATCGATTATTCGGCACTCCTTCGACAAGACACGCTCGTTTAATGTCCAGATCTCTATTTATAATCTTTCCTGGTAAACATCAATTAACAGAAATCCCTTGACGACCTGAGATTTATTAAGGTTTCTTTGATTTCATCTTACCCTCGCAACTTATATCTGCATGAGCGGAAACGGATCCGTGGATTAACGAAGGTACGCGTTATCGAGTTTCCTTGTTCAAACGTTTGCTAAGAAAACATTTGCGATTATAAAGTCGATTAACTACGCAGAAAAGAAATATACCAAGGAACAAGTATTCTGAATCGTTTAATCGTCAGATTACATGTTACAAGTTAGTCGCGTCTACTCTTTCTCTCTCTCTTACGATTAATTTATAAAATTACATCGTTTTTTTGGTGTTTGCTGATTGATTATCAGAAGTGCAATCGTTGATTAAAGGTATTGTATCTGAGGTATGCAGGTTGTGGCAGAGATACAACGGATCGAGGATATGAATCGAGAAAGGCGCTAACGTGATCGAACAATCTTGTTCGTTAGGAACATTGGTGTAATTAGGTAAAACCCAAAAAAATGATTAGAATAAGTATTAAAAAAAAAGGATTTAGCAACTCCTAAAGTCCCACTTTAATAGGAAAAAATAATTGGACCGAACGTGCAGTGTAATTAAATAGAGAACACTTAATTAAAATAGAGGACCTGTTTCGTCCTAGACAAAAATCCTAATTACACCAATGATTACGAGTACCATCGTAAAGTTAATCGCAGTAGACTAAGATTAAGATTTTCATGTTTCTATATTCTTATAATTTCAATAATGTAATCGAAAAAGAAACCATTTACTCTTACTATATCGGCGTTAGGAGTATCGTAACTTTCTAAGAGGGAAGTTAACTAGTACGTACGAACTAACTAAGTGACAAGTAAGCCGTACGACAGTTTGGAATTTCCCTTGGACCGCATGCTTTATCTCCGTTCTTTCCCCATCGAAAAGCTTCCACTTTTGGTCAAACGCTCTCTAAAAGGACGCTCTACTTGGTCAAGTTTCTTTTCTATCCTTTATAAAACAATATTTTTTCCCCTCAAGATGGGAAAGATATGCTATGAGATCAGACGAGCGTAGTAAAAAGGTCACTGAATAACTAAAGAGATAAACAGTACTTTCGAAAGATAACGTTCCTCAGAGATCAACCCATTAAGAAACTGAAAAAAAAGAAAGGAAATATATTCAGTTACCTTCTATTTTATCTCCGTTGAATGCACAAATATCGCATAGCGTTTGAAAAATTGATAGAACAGGAAAGGATCCACTGTTTGAAGGGCTAGAATGCTTTCTTTTCGTAATGGAAAGTAAACCCTTCGAATATTCGTCGCGCTAAGAGCGACGAACGATGGCAAACAATGATAATTTAATTCCTCTTCGAAGACGCGTGTTTACTTCCGTGGTGGAAAGAAAGATCTAAGAGGATTTTTACGAGGTGGAAGGCTCCGGACTCGCGTCGATGTAGTCGATATCCGATGAAGTTGCGGTACTCGCGCGTCTTCCTTGCCTCGGAGATGCGTTTATACGCGTCTTCACGCTCGTCGTCGACACGCTCAAGCGATTTCCGGTTCGTTGTGCCGGTTGCTGTTTCGTCCTGCAATTATTAAGTCAAAGGCGAGTCAAAAGTTTATGCAAATATGTCGAAGTTTTTGTAGTATTTATAGGAAAAGTCGAAGACGTTATTCCTAATAGATATCTTTGTTTTATCGTTCGAATGATCGCCTAAAAGTATCGTTCGTTTATTCAACAGTTTCTTATAGACTAGAGATTTGCCGATTGATCAAAAATTTACGATTCCGTCTCGAGAATCCGTCGCGAAGTAATCTTTTCGGATGAAAGGTGAAGCTTCAAGAGGTCTATACAAACTTCTACCCTTCTTTTTATTCCGCCATTGATTTTTTCATTAAACGTCACTGGGGATTCACTGCTGAATCAGTCCCAGATACCATTGTTACGTTTCATTTATTACTTCAAGGGAATTTATCGAATTCTGTTATCGAGGAAAAAGGTAGGATGGTTGGACTCACTTCAACCTTTCCTCGGCACCTTTCATGGCAGTGTTCAGTTCCTCTTCCCACTGTTTTTCCTTCCTCTCCCTTTCCTGTCTCTCCATCTCTCGTTCCCGATTATACACACGATATTCCGGGATGAATGCTAATCTCCTGAGATCCAAGCTCGGCCCGGCGCCTTCAGCGAGCCCGGGATCTTCCTGAGGATGCTCGATTTTCAGGGATCTACACGAATAACAAGGGAAAGCAAGCGTTGTATTTCGTTCGTTCAGCTGAAAATTGTGGCCGCCCGATGGTTAATGCCAGAGTACCATCTGTCCCTTGTGTTTTACGAGGATCGTAAAAGGGGGAAACCATTGGATCGAGTTAAGTAATTTGCAATTTAGAAACGGAGTACTAGTGACTCTTGAAGGAAATTGAATTGAAATTGACGAGTGTAAGCAAATTGTTCAGATCAACTTTGGGTAATTGAAAAACAGACGATATAATTAACTCTAGTCGTGCTTGAAAAGGGTCCAAAAGATACCAAAAATAGCTGTTTGACGAATAATCTTAGATATCGGATCAATGAAAGAACCTTTCAACATCGTCTAACGACATGAAATAATCTCTCTTTAATCTTCTCACCTTTGCTTCGCCAAGCGTTTCTTCTTTTTATGCAACGGCTTCGTCTCGATGATCATCTCTTCGAGCTCGAACGTCGGATCACAGTTCAGATGATCCTTTGGCGGCGTGAAAGGTGGTTTGATTTGCTTGTTCAACACTTTGTCAAAGTCTACGTCTCTCATCACGCTCGCTTGCTTCAGTTCCTTTAACGTTGACACCCTGGCGCCTGGCGCCACGGTTAATAATCTGTCTAGGAGTTCCCGTATCGACGAGCTCCATTCGGCAGGTGTCGGTCTTTCCTTCTGTAGAATGCTTTTTATTTTCATTCAAACGTTCTAACGTTGAAAAATTTCTAATAGGTTTTGAAATTTTGTACTTATCTAGATTGAATCTAGATCTTGTCAAAGTGAAGTATAAAATTCAAGGTTTAATTAACGTAATGAACATCTGATTGAGGGGAAGACGAAAGCAGAAATAAAATGACATCCTCGAAAATAAAAGAGATGTTATCAATGTGTTTACCTGGAGAATTTGTAGAGCCTCTCTGTGCGAAGTGGTGGAACAGAGAGGATAAGGACGTTCTCCAGCGAGGGTTTCCCATGCGAGAATTCCTAAACTCCACCAATCTACCGGGAAACCATAGCCAAGAACACCGTATTCTTCGCAAGAGCACATATAAATTTCTGGAGCTTGAAAAACGAGAAAGGATCATTCAGAAAATATCTTCGTTCGATGCTAAAGGAACGAGAAAAATGTTTCCTTTTGTAATTAATTTTTAATTCAAGAGATTCACGGTAATTATCGACAGTCCTCTCATGAATGAAAATAGGTAATTGCAATTCAATGGATTCATTATATTCATTTAGCAGTTACTTAATAGTATCTCGAACCTTTCCATCCACGTAACTAAATCACCTCGAGCCGAGTTATTAATCGTTTTACGCTCAATTAACAATGAATCAGCTTGTAATTAATTCCTACCTATGTACGGTTTTGTTCCTGACATCGACGTAGCTAATTCCCCGTTCTCCAGCACCGTTGCAATGTTGAAGTCCGTTACGTGTGCGTGTCCTACGCAGAAGGTAATCCTGGTTACATAAACCGCTTTAGTTATTTAGATAACGTATATAGAACAAGTTTCGAACCTCTTTTATCTAACACTTGTATGCGGGATATATTTTCGAACGACACCGATGGTCGATCAGAATGAAATTTAGGGGGATGATAAGGGGCGAGGGTAGATCGAAATACGAAATCTCAGCCTTGGAAATTTATGAGTTTGGAATATATAGATTCCCCAAGCTAACCATCCCAAAATCTAACTTTCAATTTTTTGCAAATTTCACCCCTTTGGTTATTGCAAATTTTTACCCTCATTTTCATTCACTTTGAACGTCGCCTTTGTTTCAAGAAGAGAAAGGAATTTTCTTGTCGCTTTTTATTATGCTACATGAAACGCACGTGGGGTTGATTAATCGTCAGCTGGCGATCGTTGACGATCAAGCATCTGTCAAACGACGTTAACAGAGTGTTCCTGTGTATGGCATAACTTCGATCAACATAGAGGATCGAATATCCTGTTACCCTTTGATCGATCCCCTGAACGGAATTTCAATACCCTGGCCGATGTTCTACACGTGTCCTGGTGAAATATGAAGTTTCCAAGCGGGATGAGCAAAAAACAAGAGGGCACGTTCGTGAAAGTATTCGTTGATATGAAAATACGAATATTAAACCCTCTGGATCATCGGTGACTTACGGTCGAACGTGTAAAATAAAGTCTCTCTCGATGGAATTAACGCTAGCTTTCCTTCGCAATATCTGAACAAATTTTTAAAAGCTTCTATCGACTTGGTGAAAGGATGAAAGGGGTAAAAGGGATGCATTCTCTGGGAAGAGAAATTCTTTTTATGAACAATAGGGAGGGTGAAGCAAAGTCAGCCAGTGACATCCGACCCTGTAATTTTAAATGATGCAGAAGCAATTTCGAGGCTCAAACAGCTGTCGGCTAAATATAGCAGGAAATTAGGGTTGTATACGTTAGTGTAGGCTTTTCGTTCTCTGGAGAGCGTGACTACCCTTGCTTTCAAGGCAACACGTTTGACAACCCCATTTTTTGCTCTAATCTTACTTGCAGATCGACTACTTTGTAATTCAAGGTTCGTTTGAAAAGTTTCCTTTACCAGAGAATATTTAACCGATTTAATTGCTTTCGAAATTTCGGGAAACGAGATATTAATACTATCCGGTTTGGAAACTTTCAACTTTCTTAGCCTTTTCTTTCATCTAATTTCTGGTTTATTGAACAAGCGTAGATTTGGTTCCACGATTGACTCTGTTCAAGAGTTAAAGGAGGCGATAATTTATAAAATAAATCAAACGAGTCCGCACCTGTTTGATCTGTTAGGATTAATTTTCCGAAACTTCAGCCTGCGAGGTGTCGTGCAGGTGACATAATTTAAATTCATCAACGAAATTACTAAACTTCATTGCGAATTTAATCAATCGCCACTATTCATTAACAAATCTCGTCTACTCGATTGATTTTCAAACGTAGTAATGTGAAAATTAAATTTTTCTGTCCGGCAAATTTCGTTGAAAATGAGAAGATTAATCTGGGTCGTTTCTGATCGATCGTACCAAAGGGGTGTAAGGTAAAAAGTTGCCGAAATCACGAGTGTCAGGGTCAAATGGTAAGTGTACAAATTATTTATAGACTGAGTCAGAGCCTGTTGGTTGTCGTGTCTCGTAAAGAGAGAGGAAAATGGCCGGATCTGCATGCTACGTCACCAGAATATAATGCGGTTCTCCATTGTGGCCGTTCTTTGACCTTTGATGAGTATTCGAAAGCGGTTCTCCATTCTGTTACCTTCGTTACAAATTCTTTCTTCCGCGTGTAAAGCAATTAGAATTGCCTGATCTATTTTACACCAGGTGCTCCATGCACCTGTTACAAGCGCATACTTTCTTATACAAAATGCTTGAAAGGATCGATCTACGTAAAGAAAAGTGCAATAATTAATTTATAAAACTCAAACTATTTTGTTTTCAATATTTTACCCTAATATGCAATAACATTTTGTCCCATCCCTGTCTTTACCATATTCATTTTGCCAAATTTATTTTCATTTAATCCGAGTGAAATTACCGGGAAATTTTAATTATTCGATTACAAAGCCGATACAGAATTGTCGGGAAGCTTGACCCGCGAGCCGCTGATAGGATTCTGTGTCGCAAAATCGAGGTCTGAACCTTTCACAGATGAAACGACTATCAAAGCGGGCGAATAGAACGATTATCGTTACAAAAGCGATTCTATTTTTCAATCTCGTTTGCCGTTCACGGTGTCACAACCGCGGATCGAAGCTCAAAGGTATCCTGAATGAAAAGGAAATTCATTTGAACCGCGTCAAAAGCGAGCATCTCGTATCGGATCAAACCGAAAAGTAAATTGAGCTCCTCAGGGTCAACGACGAGACGTTTTCCAGTTAAGGAATCGTTTTAAATCGGTTTCTGAAGATCCTTTAGTTCCGATCGGTTTCACGTTAAATGGCCAATTTCGTCGAGCCATATGTAATGGAATATATAAACAAAGAGGGTACAGAGTGTACCGAACTCTGTTTCGATTTGTAGGATTTTTAGAATGGATCTATTCAACGATGCATCAATCGGCGCGATGAACCGTCGAATATTCGTATTCATTAACATAAGGGGTGGCGCGAAGGCTTACTAATTAAAGAGCATCGAGTTCCCTTTCAAACTGACGAAAGCCGGTAATTGAATTTCGCATACACCTTGCGATCTCTTTATTTAACGTGATTCGATTCGAAAAGTTCCCTTGATTTTCTGGTATTCCTGACAACGATCATCCGGTCTCCTGAAAAGCACCTTCAAATCCAGCTTTCCCTTCGTTTACCGCGTTCGTCCCTTGATTGAAATGTGATTACGAAGAAAGAAGTCGTAAAAAGACGAGCTCGCGAACGTGAACTTTCTCCGGTTCAGAGATTAACCCATTCGAGATTGAGATCTTATTATAAGACGATACCCAAGGGATGGAATTTTTTTTCCTAGTTATTATAGCCGCGTGGACTACTTATTTCTTCTACTTGAAACGCGAACTGATATTAATTTTAATTTTTACGCGGACTTTCTTAAAATTCTGATGAATTATATTAGGATTCAGTGTTTCGTGGTAGAATTTATGGGGTAAGTTTCCAACGCGTTACATTCTGGCTGCTCTTTGACGACGTTAAAGGGGTGTCTTGTTTATTAAAAATATTAGGTTCAATATTTACACACTACTCGAGGTAAATTCGCGTGGTTATTATCTCGCCAGATTCGTCAGCAAGCGGCAGAAACTTACTTCGTAAACAGCTAAATGAAACTTAGTTACCCCGCAACTTCGTTACCATTTTAATGCACTTTCCCGTTTCGTCGTAATTCCTTGACAGATAAAGGGCGTGTTGAACGTAAGAATTACAGGAGAAAGCTGATTTTCCACGGTTTACGTGCCTACGTATCAGGGAATGTGCATCGGGAGTAATGTATTTATAGTTTCAAAGTGGAACGAGTATAACGCAATTTACTTTACTCCCTGGTACGTGCTTTAATTTACGGGTGTGGTCATTATTTTAACAATAAAACATGCCCGATAGTTTGAAAATTCGATAATTATCTTTACTGTTTATAAAACCTGCTCCAGTATCCAAACTCCTGATTATTTAATGTTTTTAAAGCTGTGCATTACGAATTTTCATATGGATTTGTCACCAATTTTAACGAAGTAAATACTAATAATTTGAGAGGGAAGAATATATGAAATAGAAAATTGGAACAACAATAACATACCTTCTTCATCTAGCAGTATGTTATCAGGCTTGATATCGCGATGAACAATTTTGTGACTTTGCAAATAATCGAGCGCTAGAGCAATCTCAGCGACAAAAAGGACCACGCTTTTCTCCGTAAATACGACTTCCTGTTGTATATGGTACCTTAAATCCCCTCCGAGTAACAAGTCGGAAACCATGAATAAGTCCTCCTCGTCTGGAACAATGAAAATTAGCATCTAAATTTAATATCTCTTGTTAAATTATTGCATACCGGTATCGCTGCTGTGAAGTTGTACCACAGATGCACTCTAAACACGAGTGTCCCAATTGCAAAGGGATTAACGACAGATTTAGGGATGCGTCATAACTCGAAATAGTAGGGTATTTACCTTGGAAACTGAACCAGAGATTCACTAGACACGGGTGTTCTAATTGCGAAAGTATCTCCACTTCTCGCGCAACGTTCTTCAGGGCTCCTCTAACAGCGCATTCTCCCTTGTGAACGTACTTCATAGCGTACATATTCCCGGCACGGTCCCGCTTTTGTACTATACACACCTATTAAGAAATAATTAATTGCTTGTTAGCGGATGAGCGATGAGTTATGGGGCCGCCTCCAGCTATTCGGTGTCTGTTGTTTCGCGTTCAAGTGGATGTGTCTAATGAAAAAGAATGCTTTTGAACGATTTCGAATATGCATTAAAGGAAAAGCGTTTCTTTTTAATTTACAATCAACAGCCGTTGATTAATCACTTTTCTCGCTATCATATCAAGCGAAATAAAACGAATTAACGAAACTCGTTAAACTCATCGCAGAGCTACAATGTTACGACATAAAGGAAGAAACAACGTTGAATTTAATTAAAAGAGGATCTTTTGAAAAGTTTCCATCATACCTTTCCGAAGCTCCCTTTCCCGATAGCGCGCAGGATTTGAAAGTGATCGAAGTTCACTGAAACGAGAAACAACGCGAACGAATTAATACAACAATGGCTCGTTCTTCGGTTAACAAGTCGAAGAACAAACGAAAATTTCTATCGTAGATCGATGCTAAACAATCGGGTATCGTTCCTCGCAAAGGAGTAATTAAGCGAAAACTTGAACGCCTCGAACTCGCGTCAGCTTGTGTAAACTAAGCGAACAATCGTGGTTCGAAGTTTATTGTTGCCTGATACTAAACTCACGACGATCCACCCTGTCATTCGTCGCTTTGTGGGTTTCGAAAATTTGGAATACGTTCAACCCTTTCGAAATGACACGGCTCGGGAAGGATAGAAGAATTTCTATTCATTTCACTCGTTCGTCGACGAAGAGGAAGGATAGTTTCACCTTGAAGATTAATCGCGTTGTTGGCAAAAAAGATGAAGTGTTCGTCAACTAACCTTCTTCTCCAGGAGTAGGCTCGCTTCTCGTCGACTGGTTGGCGCCCATTTTTGTCCCTCAATGGATCTCGATACGTGACACGAGAGAGGGTGGCCGATGCAACGCGCATTCGAGTACTTTTGTCGAGCTGAAGAAATACTCGGAATTCTCATGCTTCCACCCACTAATCGTTCGTTTATTCATCGATTCAACTCCTTTTTTTTACCATCAACGAGTTCGTCCTTGTTTACCCCGTCCCTCAACCACTTAATCTTATTTCTTTCTCTTCATATTCCCTTCGTTCCGCTTCCTCTTCTTATTAGACCTCTTTTTGCCTGAAGGTTGTTTCTTCGATTCTGTTTCGTCTCTTCAGGATTCGAAATCTTTTTTTATTAGCCACCTTCCTTCCGTTCTTCTCTCGATCGATGTTCCTATTTCATTTCCGTACTTCGACTACCTTTTCCTTCGACCTCGTATTCAGACATCTCAACAAACTTTTCGAACCGTTTTACGAGCTCCGCGTCTTATGTCTCGACACGTTTTAACAGGTACAGAAACTTATTGTCCAATTTCTTCGAGTTTAGGCTTCTGGTGAAACTTGGTAGCTTCTTTGGAAACTTCCTTCCATCACTTTTATCCTTTCCTCCCTTGATTTCTTGCTCTTTTCTCGTCTTCCTTCGATCGCCGTCAGACCTAAGAATACAAAGATATTTCATTGAAATTAAGTGTATACATTTTTTAAAGAATGAGTTTCCTATATTAGAAAACAATGAAAATTTTGCTGATTAATTTTGCAGATGTCTGAGAAATGGCTGATCGTCGTCGAATCGATCGATGTCGTTTCCAGTTGTCGCGTTAATTACTGCCACGATTCGTGCATTAATTAACGTTGGCTTCGTGTTAATTTGCCGAATAACGAGCAAACGGAGGCATGGTTGGTGTTCGATGATATCAAGACGTCTATGTTCGACGGGTCGTTTGTAATGAAGCAGAAACTCAGTGGTTGGAAAGATTCGCTTGGAATCACCTAATCGGCAGGTTAATCGTCAATTTGCGGGTTCGTGGCCTGGAAATTGTAACTTCGTTCGTTTCGCCAGAACGAGAAATCTATTTTGAATGCGAAGTCGAAACACAATCGATGCATTTGAAAATCTTTCATGAACGTCGGGGAACGTGAAATGCAATACAAAAATTAATTTCAATCGATTAACCCAAGGAATTTAATAAGATTAATTAATCTCTGCGTCTGAAAGTTAACAACGAGTTACCAAAGAAACCATCTCGCGAGTGAATTGGTCCGGAAGTTTCATAAATACGAAAAGAAATTCTTCAATCTCCAAATAGCTCTGCCTTTTAAATAGGAGCCCCTTTTAAAAATCTCGTTAATTAGCGTCAATTTTCTCACTATTATGCTCGCGTTTCGTGAGCGCTTTTCTTGGTTTAAATCTCTCCGGGTGCGAGGAGTCTGTACCATTTTTTCCACTCGCGAAAAGAAATTACACGAATCCTACGAGCTTTTCAGAATTTTTCAGCAAACAGCAGATTGTTCAATTAATCCGTCTATTATAATAAAAGAAGGTGGAACAGATAATTCTCATGGTAATTTTTCAATTGGCCGAGTTTCATTTTCTCTTACCACGTGAATAATAAACTGAATTTTTATATTTAGTCGAAATCGAAACACAATAACCAAGTTTTCTTTCACAAAGATTGTCGCCTTTCGTATTCCATCAACGTTTGTCGTTTCTTTCATAATCGAAACTTCAATACGTGCCAGAAAATGTAGCAAAATTTCTTTCTTCTCTTTAAGTCTCTTATGATCAAGATAATTCCGCTGAAATCGTGGCAAGCACGAAATGAAGTTTCTTTTTTCAAATAACCGAGGAAAAGAGAATCGCGAAACTAGGTTCTTCGTGATAATTGCATTTGTCTGATTATTTGGAAAATGGCTCGAACATTTTCGCTTTTCTATATTGAAATTTTTGGATAAACAAATTTGATCGTTTCAGTCATAATAAACTAATGGACTGGAAATTTTAATGGAATCAAATGTAATTGATGTTTCTGTGAATGGACGGTGGCACCTTTTTTTATTTTAATTAATCACGGTTCGTTGATATAACAATGAAACGCTTTCAGCATATTGATGCATTCACGCTATCAGCCGCAACTATAATTTTGAGAGTACGGCACGTCCAGTTGATACAATTCCTCTCGTTTGCTCTGTAACGAAGTTCGTTCCCTTTTCTCGTTAGTTTACGTTCATTGTTCCGACAAACAAGAATTTATTGGCACGTCATATATACATACTACCATATTTTTTCTGTTCAATAAACTTTATCCAATGTCGATATCATTTTATTTCAACAAAAAGAGATACCTCTTCCCTGGAGTTTTATATTTTATCTCTATATATTTACTTTAGAAAACGAACAGCTAGATTTGATAACTCTATGAAAAGGAAAATCAAATTCTCATGAAATATCTTAAAAAGGATAATGTACTTTTCCTCTTTACCTTTCAATTTAATATCTTATATCGATTACGTGCTCGATTTTAAAAGTAAATAAAAAAAATATCTACACGTTACACGTATTGATCGATGTTTAATTCGACCAACGAGTATTAACTTCGCAAAAAAACTTGTATCTGCCCATTGATACCTCTGTTATTTCCGTTTCAACGCGATTCAAAAATCCGACAAAATGTCTGTCAGTGGTGTTTGATAATTTCCAAGAGGGTGGAAAATAAACGACAGCTGTCAATAGTAGACCACCTTGGTATTTCAGTTTATTCTTTTCGAATTAAATTCATGGTGTCTGTCAGTCAACGTGTCGAAGGAAACCATTTCGGAGATTCTTTGTTTCTTTATTTTATTGCTGTTTCCATTAACATTCTCGCGGATGAAAAGCAGGCCTTCTACGAAAACAAAAGCAGACGCGAATGCAGAAAGAGGAAGCGCATATCGTAAGCAGGGCGAATGAGTAATAACGGCGGAAGTGGGAATTCTTCGTGCGAAATAGGGATAATGAGCGCCACATTAGAAGCACTAATTCTACAAGATCTACCATGGAAAGAGAGGTCCATTTTAGAAGTAACTTTTAGACAAGGAAGTGTAACAATTGAGTTTGACCTCGTTTTCCAACTAAAATCATTCGCTAGTTTCGTTTTATCTTCCATCCAGAGAATATTTCCATTTTAAAGGATTACTCTTCGCGATTTCTGGAATGAAGCATATATTTCCTGTATTTTTTATAAGGGCTTTGTAAGGGCTTATTACTCGCGGTACATAATTCACAAGGTATGCGCATTTTATGGAAAATAACCCCAGGGCGAAATTTCTGTCCGAAAGTAAACGGAGTTAAATGTTTAATGGTGTTAAAATATCGCTCGTGTTTTACGATAAAAAAAGAAGCGAAATAGGAGAAGATCTGTGTCATAAAATATGAAGGATATCTGTTGCGCTAAGTAAAAGCTCCCATTCATAACCCATGGCTTTTATAATCTTATATTCCTTGTTATACCTAAGAAGGGATTATCAACAGGATTATGTTTCAAGCTTCCAACACTACAAAGCTACTAATTTTTACGTTGCAATTAGTATAAAAAACGAGAGAAAGATAGAAATTCAAAGGTTTGACTTACTTTGCCATCACACCATTCACCCTTTGGAACCAAGAACGATGACACTGCGAATTAAAACTTCGATCATCATTGATCATCGAATAGAATATTCTCGAAAAATCTTTTACACCATCCCTCACTAACACTTCCAAGAATACACTCGATCCTTCATTTTCACCCTTCGTATCCCTGGCGCCAAAAAAGCTAATCGAATCAAAAGAAAAAATCTCAACAGGATCAACCCAAAGGATCCCTCGATTTGATCGGACCGATAAAGCCTCGATACAGGACGCAGATGGTCCGTTAAGACGCGATCAAGAGTAATAAGAAGGGAAATCTTGTATAAATATGGGGGTGTAAGGGGAGGATCGAAAATGACGGATGTTCGTGTTGCCGCGGTCGCGATCGCCGCACGAGTGTCGATGTTCTACGGTTCAACGAAACGACGCTGCTCGTGTTCCGAGTACGTGGATCTAGTCAGCGTCTGCGCCGAGACGCTTGGTTTTGTGGGGTGGTTGCGTTTATCAGCGCGTCGCTGTTAGCAAGCGTCGGGACGCGTATTCGAGACGCCCGTGGACATGGCCTGTGGAATCGTTGTTATCTTTCGCGATTGATTGATGGAATTGGTTACAGGGAAACAGGAAAACAAATAAACCTACAGGGTGTATCAATTAAAATTGAACATTTTCATTTCTGAAAATACGATTCTATGAACACATTTAAAATATTATTATTATAATATCAATGGTATTCTGTTATTAATTAGTCGATAATATTAAATTTGAAGGGACAGACAACTGATACCACGAATTTAATGAAAATATAGATTGTAGAAAATTGCAAATGCAATTAAACCATTTATGCAAAGCTGCAGGTGGAACAATGGTATCCTGAATAATTGGAATTGTAGCATGTCTGACAACTAATGACCGTATCTACTGTCGCAGTTCAGGCATTAACACGGATCACCAGTTAATGCATTTGATATGAGATTCCTGCTTTGAACGGTATTGTTGCATTCACATTAGGAAGGCAATATTCCTCTTTGTACCATCATTTTCTTAACACCCTGTATATATCACCCAGCTGGACAGAATGTAAAGAATGTAAGTGCTCTAAAAAGGAAATACGCGAAGAATATTAAACACAGTAAGGATCTTCAATTTTAATTTAGAATAAGCATCCCTGTAATTTATCAATAATGTACTATATTATACGAGAGAGCATTCGACCATTGTTCAAACGCCTTAGTTCAACCGCTTATGCCAGAGGTTTAATTAAATTTGAAACCTATTTAATTATTTCGATTCACATCTAATTAATACACGAATGAACTCTAAATATGTTAACAGTTTTGTATCGTAATGGGAATAATTGGAGAAGAGATTATGTTTCCATTGTATGATGTTCATCCAGGGGTAGTTATTTATGATATTGTAAAAGTCAAAGAAAAATTTGAAGGATACCAAGGATCATTAAGAGGTAATAACGATTTCTTTTGTAGTTGAAGGTTCTTTCCCAATACGAAGGTCACCCCTACCTTTTTAAATGGATCGATATGTTTTTTCTTTACGACGTGATAGATGAGTCCAAGGACCCATTGGTGTAACGTCGTCAGACGATATAAATAGCAACGAAAGATCAGACACTGGTGAATTCGTGTTTCACATTTTATGCGACATACTGAACTTTTATGACATCAAATATCATCAGACATTTCATTCAGCCATTTGATATGGAACAACCTAATAAATCCTATCTGCATGCTTGAAATCGTACCGAGAAAATGGTTCCAACCGGAGAACAATACCAAGAGGAAACGGCGGTTCAATTTCCATCTGGTATTTTATTTCAAACGCGATGCAGAATTGCTGCTTCTTCCTAAACGTTATAAACGATCGAAATTAATTTCACCTGGTCTAACGTATGGTCCTCATACATTTCAGTATAGTATTTCATACGTTCTTCACCTGGGTTGATAAGGGAAGAAAATCTTTTACCTTAATAAATGACGATAATTAATCCTCTGTATTGGTTCTACCTAACAAATAAAAAGAAAATAATGTCCAAGGTAGACGGGAAACGAGTCGAGCGTTTCCTAGGATATCGTAAGACACTGAAGGGTAAGAAAAAGTCTTACAGGTTCTTCAGCTTCGCGGTTACACTACATTTCTTTGCGGAATAAAAAGGGGTTGCGGAGAAAGCTGAACGAGACCGAGGGGATATATTTCACTGTCCACCCGGTGCACTCGAGAAAACATCATTAAAGGGGAAATATTTTTGTTTCGTAGAACCTCGTAGAATTGTTTCTCGGGGTGCTGCCGCGTTCCAATTTCCATCCCCTTCGCGCGAGAACAATTAAACAGCCTTACAAAGGCGGTTGTAAAAAGAAAAATAAGCTTCGCTGCTTTAAAAATAACAATCGCGTTTGTCACTCGTTAATTGTGACACTGTATTCGCCTCTGAAAGCCGTGCGATTGAAATTAGAAAATTTATTACTCCCAATTGCGAAGAATTGCACGGAGGGTTTTTAAATGGAACAGCCTGCACTTACAAAGAGACTCGGTTACTCGTTGATTGTGTTAAGATAGCCCCGAGGGTAGCTGAGCAAACAGAACTGGCAACAAAGTTTCCTATTGTTGTTGCAGCTGTCGATGTAGCTTTCTTTCATGCCCACAGACATCCCGTGCAAACTAGTTTAATTATAATCCGTGTTTTTTCTTTCACGCCTACGCTTATTGAACCGTTGTTCCTCCTTTCACCTCCAGTTGTTCCCGTCCATAGAGAAACGACTTTTCCTCTTCGACGTCCTCGCGATGCTCGACTTCATCCCCTCGGTCGCGTCTCGGTGAACCTGACATGCTCGAAGAACTCGGCGTCGTGGACGATTAACCTGTTGTACGTTGATACCGTCCTCTTGATCGCGTGGAAACTTCACGGGATTGCAGAATCGGCGACGGTAATGTCGGTACATGCAAGGTGTTAACACGTTCGTTGCCATGGGGATTTTCGCGTAACCTAAATGAACCATTCGGCTTTTCGGGGCAGGGGAAATATGAAATTTTTTGCGCGTCTGCCAGATACGAGGGAATATAAAATTCCGCTGCACATCAAGACCCGCGGGAAGATTTCTATTTTAAAAAAGTCCCGACACCGTGAAATTATTTACGGCTCGTCTCATTTATTTTTGCAGTTTCGTCTCGAACGGAACTCGTCGAACGCGGCCGTTTGTCGTTCCTCTATTTTCCTCGTTCAATCAACCGAGACGGTCAATTCGGAACAATCTGAGCCTCGTGAAAAATGGATTTCATCGAACTACCATTTGAACAGGGAAACGTCCAAAAAAGATTCCAACAAAAATGCATCGATTCCTGATGTATTATTAATAAACGAATATCTCAAACATCATTACATCAAGAATCATCCCTTAAATACCAAAAATGAAGGGTGCAGCGATGAAACATTTAACCAGGTGAAATTTTCTTTTTCTAAATTCAATCAATCGAGAGACCTGAACACTCGTGGTGTACCCGGTGGTATCGGCGGTTAGAATTCTAGCCGGTAGCTAGCATAGAGCACAAAAGCGGCCACGAGTTGCAGGATCGATAACGCCTTTACAACGCTACCGGACGTGGGTGAAGCTAGCACGTAACGCGATGACCAGAGCCGTGTCCCTCGTCGGTGTTAACTTAAAGCCAGGTCGGATCTACGTTCACCCTAAGAAACAGGGGGGAGTGAGAGACTTAACCGTGGCGGGTGGTAAGGTTGAGAATCACTGTTCTCTACCTGGCTGTTAATAGGAGAACGGAGAGCACGGAATGTCCTCGTGAAGGCGAGCGAGAGGGACGATCGGATTGAAGGGGATAGACGAGGAGGACACGGATGGCGGCTGGTGTTTAAAGAAGGACACCCGATATAGGAGGCATTGTACCCGGTTACCGTCAGCCGTTCCAGCACCTGGAGCGGCCAGTCGGCTCTCGCCACGGTAACGGGCATATACCGCTTGCATTTCCCTTCGCCGTTCTTCCAACGTTGCTCACGTTGGAAAAACTATCGCCGACGACGACCTTCTGGCATTTCCCTAGACTACTCTGTCACTCGGTCGCGTCTGCACCCGGTGAAACGAGCGCGCGAGTGGGAGACATTTAAGTGAACGATCGTCTGAGCTGGAATAAGAGACGGACGGAGATAGATAGAAAAACAGACGAGGAAAGAAATAAAAGAGGGAAGAAGCGACAGGGACGCCTTGTGTATCGTGTGGCGCTCTGCACTGCGACATTCGACGACAACAGACGCTTCCGACGCTCGCTATCCTAGCCGGCTAATCAACTTTCGTACACCATCTTTCGCGCGGCTCGTTTCGCGATCGTTTTTCTTCTCGACTCGTTCGACCTCGAGCCAGTCGATCTATCGCCACTCCATTCGGTGGGAAGTTCGATTCCATCCTCGGCGAAACGTCAGCCTCCGTTTCGAACAAAAGAGCACCGTACAGGAAAAGTGAAAACGTTCGACTGCTGTTCGGAATTCAGAATTCTATCGTGATCGGTTTGTAATAGAAGAAGAAAAAAAATGAAGACCGTGTAGCGTTGGTTGCGCTTGCCCGTCGGACTGTAAACAGAGGTTGCTCGCGAGCAGTGAAACGCTCCCGTTCCCGACGCCACTTTTATCGTCGAGGAACGGACCGACGCTTACCAGCCTGCGGCTGAAGCACTGAGGAAGGAAAATACGCTTCGGTGAGTGCAGTGTACGCGACAACGAACCGTCGACAGAGGATGTGCAGGCTGCCCTCGTGAAACAGGCCTGGCCGATGCCTTCCGGACAAAGATCGTGTCACGAACGGCATGTGAAACGAGCCACGTGAATGTTGTGCGCAAGTGAATCTTCATATCCGCCCGGCGAATTATTCTGGACCGGCATGGATCCCATCAAAGCCAAGTACGTACAATAAACGAAGAAAATTTTCCAGTAACTTTGTCACGGCTCCTCTAACGTTTCCTCTTGTTACGCTGAATTTTCACCATGTTTCTTTGACGTTCCGACGTGTAAGCACTTGCGTAAGAGGCGATTGTTTCGCCGTTTGTTTTCCGATCGAAGAGGTAATCATAGAAAGCAGTGTTTTCACTGACATGAATAGAAGGGAGCTGTATATACATCCTCTTCTAGGTCCTTTTACTATTGAAATTTTCCTGATTCCTGTTCTTAGAAATAGGAAAAGGTCCTTTTGTTAGTCGAACAAAATTTTTAATCCATAAACTTCATCCTTGACCTTCGATTAATTTCTGAATCGAGTCTCGTTAGGACATCAGGATCAACGTTGGCCGATTTCCAAATTCGTTTTTACCATTGTTGATACCACGTTACCGTTTCGTGATCGAGGAAGCGTGAAGCGCGATGAATGGAGCCGAGGAATTATTAGTAAACTCTTGCAGGAATCGTTCGTAACACTTTTTCATTCTCACCAAAATTCATAAATATTTCATGTCGTGAACGAGTTGCATCTTTCATTCAAGCGGAGTCTCGGTACTTTTTGCTAGATATTGCAAAACTCAACAAGAGTTGATATTTCTCTTCGAGGAAAGGTGATCCGATTGTACATAAGATTGCTTTCCTTGGTGGACAATAATCGTATCGTTGTGGATCCGGCATAAAAGGGTCGATTTGAAAAGCGACCACGCGTATTTCTTTGCTGCGATACGATCTATTATTCTCCCTTTATTCGTCATTACATCGCCCTACGGTCTCGTTCAGACTCGAACACGGAAACTGCTGAGGCTTCCCCTTAGCGAGACGAGCTTCTTTTGTGGATGAAAGGGGGTAGCAATGGTATGAAATAAAGGTACAAACGACAACGCGTAAACTCGAGATAACGATCTTGCTTGACATGACGGTGGGAATTGAAGGCATTTATTAAGCGACACCAACAATTGGGTCGTTCAATTTAAAGAGCGTTCAACGCGATGGGTCTTAGCTTCCTAACGATCCTCCGAGAAATTAGGTTACGAAGAAAGGTACAAAGAAAATCATTTTTGACCTTCTAACTCTACGAAGAATTAAAATAGAAAAATGCTTCAATTTCAAATGGGTCATGTAGATTTTCCAGAGGATTGAAAAATGATAAAATCTGAAGATAATAAAGGTGATATTTAGATGGATATTTCATTTCTCCTCGTTTGAAGAGAAACAATACATACGGACGCCTGGTGTTTCACAATTTTCACGTAGGCGTACGCGGAAATCCGTGACACTTCCGGTCAGAGGTGTTTCTGTTCGTTCAAAGTTGTACAGGTGCACCCACACAATTGTTGTGAGAAAAAAATCGTTTAGAAAGTGCTCGCCTACTCTCCTATCCACCTTTCCGTTTCGCGATACTCATTCGCGATTTCTTTCAAAGTGGATAAAATAAATATTTAAACGGTAATCGCTCTCTGTTTTTCACCGGCCCAGTTTATCAAAATTGTTTTTTGCAAATTGTCCAAGGACTCAGCGCCGAGAGACGGAAGCCCGTAAAAGCGGGCGGTTACATTGAATCATAATTAATTAAATTTTCAGGGAAATATACTGGTTCTGCGTAAAGGACAATATTACACAGTTTAGCGAGATTGTTTTTTAAATTTACATACGAGAGACGAAGGGATACGCACACAGACGGCTTACACTGAACCGTAATTAATTAAATTTTCAAGGAACACACTGGGTGTTTCATTCGACTGAAAATAAAATTCAGCATAAAATCCCTAAATCCAAGAGTTCTGTTTTTGACAAGATGTACCTTCCTTGTTCATTTGCGTTACAATACATTATATTGCTCCAGGAGATTGTCTCGATGCCTGTTCCTGAGTTGGATCGTTGCATCAGCATCTCAAGCTTCAGTTGCAATCGCATTATGGCATCGTGTGAAAGTTTAGATATCTACTAGCTCTAGTACACCATAGATGACATCACGAACAGGATTGGCTCGGTATCTCGATCCAGAAATCGGCTTTGTTTCCGTCTATCTATAATTGTTTCCTTGGAAATGAATTCATCTCCAGCCACGTATAATTGTCTAATTTTATTTCTTTTCTCATTAGATCCGTATTAAACGTGGTCTGTAAGATTTATAAGAGACATTTTTGCCTTTGCAGAATGGCCCCCACAGGGATGCCACCAGTCACCGGTGTCCTCCAGCCGCCAGCGGGTTCGACATTGACGGGAACAACGATAGCGAACTACAAAAAAAGTTGGTGGAGAAGAGTGGCCCCCTGCTTGGCCTTTCTTGCCGCTTTTTCCACTGCCATGGCACTGCTCCTCGTCTGGAGCGAAGCTGCGGCTTTGAGGTAAACTTCTTCCTCTGAAAATCGCAACGAAACGTCGCTCGTCTTTGCGTATTTTCGCGAAGTAAATTGACCGTTCCGTCAGTAAAAACCTAATGCAATAACCAGAGAAACGGAATATAATTTGGAGTCCTTTAGATTTCGTGCCTCTCTCATTTTATCATACTCAGAGGAGCGTAAAAATTTTACAGCCTCGTAAAGTAGAACGTTCCGAAGCTACCCCAAGAGAGTCTCATTCTTTTTCTTTAATTTTTCTTTCGATCTCTCTTTATCGCTCTTACCAATAAACGAGCTGACACTGATGAGGAATTAAGTGAACGAATTTTCCTCATTTTTATTGCATCGCTCTGAGAAAATCAACGGCTATGTCAATTTGCAGCAATCAAGGAAGAGCGAATTGCAAATAACGAGAGATATCAACGAATTCAATTAATGTTTGTTGTGTATATCCGTCAAACTAGCAGCAAGTGGTCGTTCAAATATTTCCTCACACCATTCTGATTTTAAAGCCCCGCAGTGAGCAGCCTTATCGCCGTGCCGCTATCATAGAGAGGCAAATATTTGATCGCGGCTTTCGACAGAAATCCCTGACAAAATTCTAGGCTTAGCGTCGGCAACCGACGATAATCTGATTGATGAGAAATCATCTTGTTGTGTAGGTACAATCATTCATTGTTTCGTTTAGACAAGCCGTTAACTTCGATTATCTGCTTCATCGACATCTGGTCCTTTGCAAATCGTATGCAAGGAGTACCAGCCTCTTCTTTATCTTTAACGATCTACGAAGCCGGCACTGTGTTCCCAAGAAACGTTAAGGAAACACGATTGTTAAACGGAGTTAATTACCGGGTCACTCGACGATTATCCTTTCCCTTTGTACGAGAAGAAAGCTATTAACGTTGCTTTGCAATAACATCTGAAGAACGACTTCATTCAATGATGTTCGCGTAAATCTGATTAGCCAATCGAATCTTTAATTAAAGATTCTTTGAAAGTTCCATCTCCCCTTTATTCATCATTTTCAATCGATGAATTTAAATCGCGAGTATAGATTCAAAGAGAGAAGGGGACAGATTTGGGTATCCATGATTAATTATTCGATCTGTCGCGCAGGTTAAATTAAGGAACAGCTTACCGGGATGTGTGTACATGTTGGTGTTAATGAGAGGGCCGGTCGTCCGTTGTGTACATTAAAGCGGACGTTACGTTGCAGGAGGCAGGCGTTTGACGCCAACATGACGAGGGACTATGTGTTGAACAGCGTCTCGATGGACAATCCGGAATTGGTTGCATACATCAGGGAGGTCCAATTGAAAGCCACCACGCAACAGGATCCATTGAACGCGACCCAGACCTCGGAGGAGAGGTACGTGTCCAGCCTGACAGAAGGAAAACGCGAAGGGTTATACGTGGAGTACATTAGCAGGGTAAGAGGAGGATCATACAACTGTACCTGTTACTTTTATATCATCCAGGATCCTGCGAGTAGATCATTATATTCTTACAGATAGGAGCTGTCTCCAGTACAGGCTGGCTGGAGAGGAACTTGAGCTGGAGAGGCGTGTTGATCCTTACCGATCCCAGAAGCTTCTTCGAGGCTCACAGGAGCACGAGGAATCCAAAAACTAGAGTCCTTCATGCGTGTCTTAGTACAGATAAGGATACCAAAGAGGTAAGTATCCTAGGAATAAAAATGTTCAATTTTATTAATGATCATATCTCGGATTTCAGATTACTTATCATCAAGAATCTGAAGTTCAAGTTACCAAGTTGGGGGAGGGTCCGAATAGTCTCGTGTCGTCGGACGAGGGCCTGCCAACCACCAGATTGAAATGTTTCCCTTTGTATAGCGTATTATTGGCATACAGTGCCACCACCTTGGATTACCTGAGCCTGGATAGCCCTGATGCCCAAGATGGCCAGGTAAAATGATCCCAAAGTGTCGAAGAATTTATTCTGAAATCTTTAGAGAATGAATAGCAGAGAAATTATTTGGTCCACAGGTCCTCGATACGATTCCCTGGGACACAACCAGGATATCCGTTTTGTCCATACGTTGGAGTCCTCATCATAGCGAAACGGAGACGAAAAGTCTGATCGATAAGATGACTAGCAGAAGATACAAATTGATGTACACGACGGACACCGGGAAATTGATCTTCTTGTACAACGCGTTGCTTAAGATTTAGATCCTTGACTTAGGATGCTTTCAACCCTGGACCGTTCTACGTTCACCTACGTGGCTTTATTTTAATTAACAGAAGCTCGTATCGCGAACGGGAAATATTTTGTTTCGAAGAAATCAAAGATCGTTCACGTAGATTCTTCTACTCATTAAACGAAACGTGATTATAGAAAAGGTCGCGATTTCGTTGCTGAGGATCACGCGAATCTTTTTGAACGTAGCTTTTATTTTTCGTGGAAATATACACAGGTTTCTTTTCGCGTACGTGCCTGGCACACGTCGAATCGTAGAACAAGCCAAGATTTTCTTATTTTGTTCAATTGGTACGCGTACTGGAACAGGAACTAATTTTTATTTAGCCGTCGATCGAACGAATGGGTGACAAAGACTGAGAGAATTATTATTTTTTTTTTCCTGAAGCATCGTCATACTTAAAAGGCAAATTTGATCGTGCTCGGTCTCTTGCGAGAGGTTCGCCTCAAACCAAAACGAAGGAACGAACGATAGAAAGAAATAATCGTATTTAGTTTCGTACATGTGTTTTAGCGTAGGTTCGTTTTAAGCATCACATATGAAGACATTTTACGAACTATGTAGATTTTAAAATATTTGTCAAAGAAGCGACAGACTCGTGGACCGTTTCTCTTCCCACCAAAATTGATCTTCAACAGCGGGTAAACGAGTACTGTCGCAGTGATAATTAATGAGTTACTCTGATTACCTATATCACGGGCCTTATTAGCACGTAAGTCGATATTTAACTAAGATATTGTAGAAAAATCGGTAAACTATGTTCGCTTTGCTCGTTGCAAGGGTTAAGATGAAAATAAAATAAGCTCTTTAATGTTTGCGGTCAAAATTACTAATACTAGTCATTGTCTAATTACCACCTTGTCTATTTACTTTTCATGCTAATCAAGATATCACCTTCGTTCTATCATAATTCGATAGTAATATTTCATTATCAATTGATACTCGATACCCCCTATAATTTCAATAAATTCATTAATTTCTATCGTTCAAATTAACCCACTAAGTAAAATAATTAGAATTATTTAGAACGCGATCGTTTCATTTCCCAATTTAAGCTCTTCATTTCTTACCTTGCATAATTAATACTACCAATCGCAATAACCAATTCCATTGATAATTCCTTCCATTATCTAATACTTTTTTCAGTTCAATCACAAACGAAACTTTCTTTCATATCGATAAGTAAAAAAAGTGACCCGGTAAAGAGCAAAGTGAAGAGAGTTTACGATAACGTTCCAATGAACGCATCTCACACGCGATACACGCAACAACAATACAATGACAGCGCGACATTTAATTACGGATGAAGTTCACAGGGTTTATCGGGCCATTTTGCACGATTACCGATCGAAACGCGGATTTATTTTCAGCAGGCAGATCACCGTTTAGTTTGATAATTACGCTCGAACGAGGAGAAACTATTATCGTTCCTACTTTGATAGAGAACGCTCGTCGTCGAGAGGTATTTGTATTCGAGCAGATACGAGTTTAATACATCCAATACCGTTTACGATACGACCCGTGACCCTTTACTATCGCAGCCATTTCGGAATTACGCGCTGTTATGCTGCATTTAAGCGCACGTGTACCTATTCATGCACCTGCATACACGTTCCCTTTGTAGATGCACCCGGTTGCAGTTTAGGTTTCTTTTGATCAATCCATTAATTCTCAATAATTTTGCTAAATTTTGGGTATTAATGGATTGATAATAAGCTTCCCAATCCAAGGAGAGCTTCCATCAAATTCTCCTTCATTTCCTGTTAACTAAAGGAAGCCCAAGCTGCACAAGACCATACTTACAAGGTTCAAATATCAATCACTGTTCCTTCCGATTGTTCAGTTCAAATGGCAAGCACGTGTATTCTTTTCTTATTTTTCTTACTCCGCCATAGCCGCGTCTCTGACAATGTGCACTTCTTGATCACAGAGAGAAAGCGTTTTTGTACCGTTTATTCCGAGAGAAATGAACATGGATTCTTTTGAAAAGCAATAAAGGTAGATATTTTGCAACGCCCTGTTTCGTTCTTTCTTTCCATCCTTCAAACGGTAGTTTGAAAAGGTCATTAATTATTTCGTACTTTCTTTTACTTGGATAAAAGCGCTGCTCGTGGTTGCTTTTAGGGTTTAAATGCTCGTAGTTTACTTCTTTGGAGATCATTAATGGAAATTGTACAAATTTTCAAGAAAATTCTAATAATATTTTTAATAGCAGTGGATCATCGTTAATTTAAATTATTGTAATCAATTTGAAAGAAAAAAAAAAATGAGGAAAAAATCTTGCAAAATTTTTTACAACGTTTGCGACATACTTACTGATACCACTTCAATCTGTTTGAAAGTACAGCCAGCATCATTGCAGTGGAAATTTTTGGCGTTCCATTCCTAGAAAAAAAAAAAATTAGTAACAGGAAAAGTATAGCAATTTCCTCGTGTAACTTTATTTCTTTCCTTGAATTTCTTCAACTTTGTCGTGGTTCTATCTTGTCCATGCGTTAAATTTCCTATGGGAGAAATGTTGCAATTTATCGACAAAATGTGCAACCTGTATTTTTATTCTGTTCAGAATATATTCTTTGATGTCGCGTTTACTTTCCCAAGATATTGCATAGAGGAATACCAATCGATACAGCATTTGGTAGATAAATATCTTTCCAAGACAGAATTTTTATTTACAGGAAGGAATGTTGCTGATGGAGGTAGAAACGAGTTTTTAGCGGAATTAGGATTCGACACGGCCTTTGGCTCGCAAAAAAACGCGAACAAGGAACTCGATATTTCTGAGTTAAAAGTAAATTCAAAAACCATTTGCAGTCGTTTGATTAACGATTTATAGCCTGCATTTTTCGAGGAGATATCCGAGATCTTAGAGGTTGCAACGTCGTATACACGCCTCCTTCAGCGACAGGTCCGCATTTATAGGAAGAAAAGCAGGAAACGGCGAAGAAACTCGTTTCGAGAATTCCACGAAATTTCCTAGTGAACCATGCCTGCAAATGACTAACTTGTTAGAGATTATATATGAAAATTTTTATGAAGAGGGTTAATTAGCACCATGATGTAAAAGGAATTAAAAAATTTTTAAGTGGAAATACTTAGGTGCCATTGAAATGTCGATATCTGTCATCAAAGAGGCACTCGATTAAAATTTCTTCAACAGCGAAAAAAGATTTTGTCCCATGTAATTTCATTTCTCTTTAGATTTTTTCTCGTAAAGGGTTGGAAAGTACCCCTTTGGCGCAGCTTATGAAAGCTTCAAGACGAACGACCACGCAATACAGGGTAGAATCTTTTTTCATCTAGTCACGGATTCAGGGAGGAGTTTAATATCGTTGGCAAATGAGTTTTTTACATTTTCCTCTTAATTAACAAACTTCCTAGTGGATCACGTGCTGCTTCGTTAGAGTTTCCGTTACATCTATGAAAAATTGCCTCGTCAGTAATAAGATAATAATCTAATTGAACGACGATGTAATATTAAAAATTTTCGGAAACGATACGGCCCGTCGAGCTAAATTAACGTGCACCTGACTCAAGGAAACGTCATTTCTTCTTCCTTCAACTTCAAGAACATTTCTTGTCATGAAACTTTCACGATGAAGAAGATTTTCAATTTCTGGTCTAATTGAGACCAGTAACGAGGTAAATTTTCCTTCAACTTTTCCTTGTCGTTAAATGCAATTTCTCTGTGCGTTTCTAGCTTGATTAACTAAGATTACTCTATCGGTTGGTAGATATAATCTCCGCGAGTAAATCTGGTGCTTCTGATAACGATTTGTCGTTAGGTACATAATAACCTTGATTTCTAGCGTTTACCAACGATTAAACCTTCCTGTCATTTTTTTTCCTTATTGCATCGCCGCGAAGATAAGGATTGCAAACGGCACGAGCGAGTGTTATCGTTCCGGATCAAACCGTGATTTATAGGTGGCGTTTCGTAGCCATTTTTAGCAGAGTCAATTAAGATAAGTTTTCTTTGCCAACTGACTGATTTATAGCGACGATTGTATATCACTTCGGAATTAACCGGTTAACATGATCTTACTTCTGCTAAACTGGTAATCTCGTGTCAAAGTGTACGATTTTAAACTTTTCTGCGAATTGGGGAAAGATAAATGCCTCGCAAGATTTTAATTTTGCACTGATATAATTATATAAAATTTTATGTAACCCTCTGTTATCTCATCGAACTTACTTCCATGTCGAAATGAAATTCAACTTGAATTGAATTTCCTCTCGAGGCACAATCTTTTCAAGTTTCTTCATTCCAAGTAATAAAACTGGGAAACAATAAATTCACCTGGAACTCATTCAGAATCGAATCTCTTAAGCGCGATCCACTCTAAGTTTCTTGCTGTAAAACGAGCTCGAATAATGACTTTTTATCGATCGTTCATATTTTAATAATTAAATTCCTGTGGCGATGCAACAAACCACGTTAGAAAAATTCCAGCGTTTCTCATATTACGTTACTCAATAAATGAAAATTGGCAACGGTAATCGATGTTATCAAATTGCCTATCTTACACTTCAATTTTAATATTTTAATCGAGTTACCAATGAAATCGTTATCGATCCCATTAATTGATTTCCACTCAATAATCATTAAATTGATAGTTCGTCGGTCATCGTCAGGCATTCGTAACTTTGGTATATAACTTTTCACCTTATCACTAATTATATAATTTATAATTGTACAATCACGTATTAATTACAATTTGAAACTAATTAACTGATCTCGTTTTTCGTTGTTAATGTATCGTAAGCACGGTTATCCCCATCCACGTAGCAATTCAATTTATAATTACCAAATAACGAGCATTATGCGACCCCTATCAGTGAAAATTATTGCTGTTACGAATAATGGCTACAATGTGGCCAGGCTGCGGTTCGCCTTGGATAATTGCCTTGCTAGCAACCGCGAAATGCATCGTTTCAGGGAATCTCGTTCGAATGTCCTGTCAACATTTATGACAAGATTTATCTTTTAGAACTGACCTTTTTCAAATGAAAATTTGATGCCAATACGGTAGTTGTTCGGTTAGAATGTCGATTTTTATAGACAAAAGAAGGACAGAAGAAGGACAGGTATCATAAACATGTTGTTCATACCAATGAAAAGCAATGATCGATATATCTGTATCGATATCGATAGAAATTTAAAAAATAAAGTATTTCTATCGTGTTGGTGTAACTCTCAAACCGAGCAACGTGTATTCCTAATTATTAACTTGGATCAGTTTTAATTCCACAACGTTCAATTTTCTTCTAAGGATATTTAATCTATATGCAAGTATTTTTTCTCGTTCAATGCGTTACGAAGCGATTACAAAGATAACGAGAGATATCAATAGCATATTATGTTTATCAGATTTAATTATCTAAAAAAGTTACGTCACAACACGTGCTTATACGTCTTCGCCAAGAAATGTATCAAATTGAAACATATTTAAATTTAATGTCTAATAAATGTTGCATTTTAACAGCTAGTGCAGCGGTGCAAAAATTGTAAAAAATGCAAGACCTAAGTGCATCGTGTGCAAACCTGAAAGCATCTTTCACTTTGCGACTCTTTGATCTAAAAATTTAATATTGTTATTAATTTGAAAATTGAATTACTTATTAAAAAACTTTGCTAGTCGTCATCAATGAGAAACGAAGGCATTTCACTGATTTTGGGAAATTTATTCCCAATTCAACCTCATTTCCTTCCTTCACCGACTCTTCCTATTTCAAGTTTAAATTGGATGTTCCAAAGTAAAAGCTCGAATACCCTTCTAAGCTCTTTTGTACGGCGCTTGATGGCTGTAAAATGGCATAATGCAACAATCCAATTTACAGGATCGAGGAGTGCCTTTAAGAGGATGGAGGCATTTCGAAAATGCACGATTTGAATGGAACTGACGACGGAGAACAGGTACCATTATTTCGAGGATGTTTCAAGCTGCTCTTTAAAAAGAAAATGGAAAAAATAAAGTAAAGAACTGGTAGAATTTTCCAAGAACTGAAAAAAGTCTTTTAAAAAACGTCCACTTCGAGTTGTTCATGACGTGTCCTTAGAAATTCAAGGTTTTTACCATTTCAAAGTGAATGGACTCTGCTTAAAAGTGCCGAAAGTCATTGGAATTTCCAACAGCAATAATAATATAAATATAGGAGTCGAGAAGAGTTGGTGTTCAGCCAATTTTAAGCGCACCAATATGATGTAAGACGTTCCCTCACCGTTTCTCTGGTTCTTCATCAACCGATACCTGGTAATCGTGATTTCCAAATCATTTTTTCCTTCTACCATAGCGATAATAGGCTGATAGTGATGAACAGATAGTGGCGATCGCGATATATGATGTACCCCGGTACGGAAACGTTCATTCGGTTTTCTTCGATCGTCTTTGCTTAATCCAAAATATGTGACTTACCCGATTGAACGTTCCTCGATCGAAATTCGAGAAGGTGATCGCGTCGATCAACTGGACCTTTTCTGAAGGAACTCGTCATCGATCGACGTATCATCGATTTTTCGGTGATTGAAACACCGAGCTGTAAATTCGTCCACTCGCGCGGAGAAACATTTTTGACGAGGAAATGGAGTTCACGGGGATGATCACCGAAACGCCAGTTCATCAGAAGAGCCGGAAGCTATGGCAGTACCTTTCCACCGTTTCCGGTAACGCTTTTCTCTTTTCAAAGATCCATTGTTTGGTATTCCATGACAAATTTTGCCAGATTTATCGAGCGTATTTCTTGAAGTACCTTTTTAATTTGTGGAATTAACTAACGATCGATTATCGGATTGATAGTCGCGAAGACAAACAGCTATTTCGGTGATAAAGTATCTTTAAAACCGATTTAAACTTGATTAAAGGCTTAATTTTCGTTTATAGAAAATGAAAGAAGAACTCGCTGTTCAATTTCAAAGATTTTTACAAAATTCTTCAAATCAGAATAGTGTTATCCTTTTTATTAATTTATCGTGATTGTCATTTGGTGCTATGTACTTTTTATAAGCGTTTCAT